AGCTATTTGTTGCTGTTGTGAGTTGTTGTTCGAATAATTTTCTGTGTGAGGTCATTGAGTTGATTGAATTGAGGTTGTTGTTGTGTTCGGTCACTGTAGGAATAATTTTAAGTTACTATTGTTGTTTTCTTGTTTGTTGTTATCGTTTGTGACTAATAAACTCATTGTTGTTGTGCTACGAACTTGTCACAGTGTCTCATATACCAATCACAGTATTTCGAGAACCGGAAAGAAATTATCTTTGTTGTGAAATTCACGACACCACTAGGCAAAATCTCTTTAGGCAGATTGACCGGATACCGTTAGCATTGAATCGGCCTTAGTAAATTGTTTTATATATTCGTTAAAGTTACATCAAGGGGTCCGTGTAAGGTGGGAAATGTTCCAGACTGCAGATGACGGCAGAGCATGATCATTAGATTGAATTGACTTGATGGACGTCTCTTCAGGAAACGGTTCAAGCTTGCTAAACGACTCCAGCTAATAACAGGTTTGATCTGTGTGCAATTGTTGTTGAGGATTCTCTCAGTTGCTCTTATTCAACCAGGCGAACATGAACATTCGTTACCTAACTGATCATCGCAAAATTTGAATGGTACAGAAAGATATAAGCACTTACACGAACAATGTCTTCACCGAGAAACCCTAACGCATAACCTATTCCATATTGTGTTTTCCATAATCTTCGCATTGGTTTGTAGGTGACTGATGCGGATGATTGAAACCTTTGCTTCGGCCCGCAAATCTCTCTAGATGTCCTTAAAATTAATCATCTCCTTCAATATCCATCGAGGCTGAGCCTTCTTCAATTCCATTTACTTTAAAATTTGTCTCCTAACAGCATCGGAATCTCACGCAAAGATTTTGCATCAACGCGCAATCAAATGCACCTTTCTCAACTCCGGGAACTTCGGCACAGTGGCTGTTCTGTGAATTAAAAAATTGCTGACCCTCATTTGAATGCACGCAATCAGATAAGAACAGTCACAATCAAAAACAAGAACTCATACCCTGGACAGCATTCTATTCGGCAGATTGATTTACATAGTGTTTCTGAAAATATACTCATTAATGGAACACGCGTAGAATTCACTGCAACAAGGTTATAGAATCACCACTAGTGACGTCTCTATTCCAGTTAAACAGTTCGATTCCTGTTCTGTTCCGTGGAATAGAACAGAACAGTTCACAACTGAGGAAGGAACAGTTTGAAACGGAATAGAGCTGTTTTTGAGCCCGAAAAGGCAGATCAGAACAGTTTCCAACAGATTTTGGCTGTTCCTTAAACTGTTATTATTGAATACTGCAGTGAGATAAACTATCATTATTTTATTATTGTTATATTGATTATTATTATTTATTATGTATTATTATATTTGTATATTTAATGATAATAATAATAATATTATTATTATTATTGCTGTTATTATTATTTATTACTGTTTATCAATATCAATGTTTTTACTACTATTACTTATCAATGTTACTATTTATTACTGTTGTTTAA